GCGCGCGAGGGCGGCGCGGCGCCCGCCACGCCGGCGGCCGACGACCGGGACCCGGCCGCCAGGACCGCAGAGGAGGAGGCGGAGGCGGCCATGGTGAGCACTATGATGACGCGGAAGACGCGGAAGCTGTACGCCAGCCTGCAGAGGAGTGCGGCGGCCAAGCGGGCGCGGGTGGAGGGCCTGCAGCAGAGGGCAAAGCAGGCCTGACTGGGCCCTGGAGAGGGTTGTGGGTTTGTTGGTTGAGCCTATTTGTAAAAACCCTTTCAAGCCATCACGTAACGCCTGGAGAAGTTGCTATTGGCAAATGTATGGGAGGGTAGGGGACAGGCAAGGCCAGGGAGGGGGCAGCGCATTGTCAAGAGCATTGGCGTTCTAACACAGCTTGCATAAAGCAGCCATGGCATCTTCGTCCACCAGGGATCTGGGCCTACTCATAGCAGAGCCACACTGCAATTTTGCACCCGCTGGTGGGCCCGGGCTCTCCCGACCCCCCAGTAATAATCCCGCTTTCCATCAGGACCGCTGGCGATGCTTCCGCACATCCACAAACAAAAGTCCCCAACAACCAATCATCGTGGCATGCGGAGCGAAGTTTATTTGTGTACATTCTTGACACAGGAGACAGTATATAGAACCAAGCGGATTCCAAGGCTCCTCTCCTGAACCCAGGGACTGCCTCCCTGCATCACCATGGCAAACCAGACCATTGCCGATGTGTACCAGAAGAGCAGTGGGCTCGCCAAGTACCCTTTTGAGCCGTACTGGCCGTCAAAGAAGCTGCGAATCTGTGTGACAGGGGCTGGAGGCTTCATTGCGAGGTGCGCTGTGAGCACGCCGGCGTTGCCCAATGGACCGGTGTCGACAGGGGTGCCGAAACTGCGGAGTGCGCTTGTATGGCCCAATCATGCCCACACCATGCCATGCGTGATGGGTTTAGGTGGCCATGCCGGCCTCCTGCATAATGCTGCCTTGGCATGGCTGTGAACTGACCACCAGCGCCTTTCGACTTGGAACCCCATCCCTGCAGCCACCTGGCCGCTCGTCTGAAGTCGGAGGGCCACTACATCATTGCATGTGACTGGAAGCGCAACGAGCACATGCAGGTGGGATCATGGTGCTGTGCGCCTCTTTGTGTGGATCAGTGTGTGCAGATCCTGTGCATGCTAGGCTGCACATAGGTGCCCAGTGGAGGTGATTGGGAAACCCAGGACTGTACCCAGTCATCACATGTTGAAGATCTGAGTGAAGGCATGGACTCACCACAGGACGACCAGCGCAACCGAGCAACCCCTCCGTGCAACGTATTCCACAGGAAGAGCTTTTCTGCGACGAGTTCCACCTGGTGGACCTGAGGGAGTTCTCGGCCTGCGCCCGTGTGGTGAAGGGCGCTGACCATGTCTTCAACCTGGCCGCCGACATGGGGGGCATGGGCTTCATCCAGAGCAATCACTCCGTCATCTTTTATAACAACACCATGATCTCCTTCAACATGCTGGAGGCTGCGAGGCAGGAGGGCATCCAGCGCTACTTCTACGCCTCCTCTGCCTGCATCTACCCGGAGAACCGGCAGCTGGAGACTGAGATCGAGGGCGGGGGTCTGAAGGAGGACACTGCCTGGCCGGCACAGGTGTGGTGGGTTTGTCTCGGGGTTGTTTGGGGTGGGAGGACTGAAACAGCATGCAGCCATGGAAGTGGCTGGAACCCTCACCGGGCAGGGTTGGGGATGGAAGTGTTGCGTCGGACAAGGTGTTGAGAGGCAAGGCCCTGAGGGTTGCTGTGGCAGCTCCAGGCTTCGCAGAGACTGCATGCTGCCAGGGGCCCATTCCGTGTCAAGAAGGGGCACCCCTGGCTGCTGTGGTTGGTACGGTTGTCAAAGCACGCGACGGTGTCCACCCTGCACCTCAACCGTCCACATGCCTGGCTCGACCCACCCACAGCCGCAAGATGCTTACGGCCTGGAGAAGCTGGCATCCGAGGAGCTGGCCATCCACTATGGCAAGGACTTTGGCATGGAGACGCGCATTGCCCGCTTCCACAACATCTACGGTCCCCTGGGCACGTGGAAGGGTGGGCGCGAGAAGGCGCCCGCCGCCTTCTGCAGAAAGGTGTGTCGGTCAGAGGGCCTGGAGACGGCGGGTCGGTCGCGCGGTGCACTGGCTGGGTCCCAAGCTCCTTTGCACGCCCACAGGCTCGGCCAAATCCACTGCACGTCTCCTATGCCTCGCTGCCTCGCCTTCAGTGGCATGCGCCAGCGAGACTGGGTATCCCCTTCCTGCTGCGGCAACGTCCACGCCCTCCTCCCCAACCCCCTTCTCTTCTCGACATACTCCTCACTTCCCACCCAGGTGCTGACGTCCAAGGACGAGCTGGAGATGTGGGGCGACGGCCTGCAGACCCGGTCCTTCACTTTCATCGACGACTGCGTGGAGGGCATCCTGCGCATCACCAAGTCGGACTTCACGGGCCCGCTGAATCTGGGGAGCGACGAGATGGTCAGCATGAATGGCATGATGGAGATGGTGCTGGGGTTCAATGGCAAGAGCACCCCCATCCGCCACATCCCTGGGCCGGAGGGCGTGCGCGGCCGCAACTCGGACAACCAGCTCATCCGCGAGCAGCTGGGCTGGGCACCCAGCATCACCCTCAGGGACGGCCTGCGCATCACCTATGACTGGATCAAGGTGGGGGCTTGGGAGATGAGGAGGGTCGGGACGGAGGACAAAGGTTGCAAGAGGGCGGGGATGGGTAGCGCGGGAATGGGGAGGGAAGTGGATGTCTGGGGTTTGTATACATGTGTGTTGGGCGGCTTGACCTTGGAATGACTGTTGATTATAAGGCTCCTGGAACAGTAGCGTGAGGACATCACTGGCATCGACCGAATACATCTTGCAGCGGACGCACGTTGAATCTCAGAGCAGACCTTTGCGCACCTCTCTGCACCTGGCAATTGCCAGCCTCCTCACCGTGCATTCCCTGCTTACCACCTACTCACCACTCGCCCTGCCCCCTACCGCCCCCTCTCTGCTCCAGGGTGAGCTGGAGCGCGAGGGGAAGACGGAGGGGGCCGACCTTTCCTCCTACTCCAAATCGACCATCGTGGCCACCACCGCACCCAAGGCGCTGGGCACGCTGCGCGGCGCTGACGGGGCAGAGGACTAGGCGCGAGTGCCAGACCGTTGCTGGGCTGGGTCCTGGCCCCACTACGAACCACGCCTCTGCCTGACTGCACTTCCTTGCCTCTCGGCCTCGCACACTGATTCTTTCCTCCGCACCCATGCAAGCCCATCGAGGGCGGCACACACTTTGCTCCTCCACCTGCAGATCCCCGCCGCTTGTGCTGTCCACCCCCTTCGGTAGCCCCACACTACTCAGCTCCCCTGTGTCAAGCCCAGGGACAATTGTCCTGCCACCTCCCTCCCCATCGATCAGCGGGCTGCTGGGTGGTGACCACACAGACGTGCTTCGCAAGGGCATTGCAGAGGAAGGGGAAGGAGCAGGGCATGGACGGAATCAAGGACATATCACAGCTACATAGGATGGTACAGGGGGGGGTATGGGCGGTCGAGGGCAGGTTGCGGAGGGGCTTGACCACTGGGCCCGCTCAGCAGCAGCCGCCCGACCTGGGCGCCACCGCTGCGTCCCCGGGACGCACAATCCCTGTCGCGCCAGCGTTGCCGCCCGCGCCGTACCCGACCTTGATGCCGTAGCTCTCGTTGGAGACGTCCAGCACGCCTGAGGCGATCTTGTCGTGAATGGCGCGCGCGGTGCCGATGAAGGCCTCTTCCACGTTCAGCGCGGTCTTGGCGCTGGTCTCCAGGAACACCAGGCCGTGCTCCTTGGCAAACTGCTCACCCTCCTCCGTGCTCACGGCACGCCGGTGCTGGGGGTGAGGTGGAAAGGAAGGAATACCGTGGGGGGCTTGGCAGGCGGAAGGCACTTGCGGGTGACATGCCAGAGGCTCCAACATACAGCAAGAAGACCACTGCACGTGCTCTGCCACTGTTCCAGAGCATTAAATGGCGTTCATCACAGCCAAAAACCTGGTTCAAACTCCTTCTCAGGGCGACCAATCGAGAAGAAAAGGGCCCCTGCATGCGCATGTCAGATCCCGCAACCCACGACTCGGCCCCATCCAAGCCCACCTCCCCACCAGCCACCCCCGCTCACCGACAGGTCGGCCTTGTTCCCAATCAGCATGATGGTCATGTTGGGGTTGGCATGCTGCCGCGCGTCCTCCAGCCACGAGGCCAGGTGGTCAAACGTCTCCCGCCTGGTGATGTCATACACCAGGAGGGCCCCCGCGGCGCCCCGGTAGTAGGACCGGGTGATGGAGCGGAAAGACTCCTGGCCCGCCGTATCCCAGATTTGCAGCTTGATCTGCTTGCCGTCGATGTTGATCATGCGGGCTCCGAACTCCACGCCGATGGTGAGGTCGTGCACAGGCTGGAAGCGCTTGTCGGTGAACTGCAGCAGCAAACATGACTTTCCCACACCTGCGAGGGTTAAACATTGAGATGCATGGTCGCAGCGGTGTCGAGCAGGCTGCACGTGGTGTTGGGAGGGCGACTAGCGGTAGCCCAGGAACCTTCCGCCCCTGAGGGAGCCTCGCCTGTGTCGCCGATGATAATATCTGCATGGGTGTATGTAAAGGACGCTTGAGTAGGAGTATCATGTGCTTACATACACTGCAGAGCCACCCTGCCACCCCACACATGCCCACATTTAAAGAGGTAGCTGTAAGACATGGCGTCCACGCGTCCGCGCGGACAGGCGAGCAGAGTCTCCTGACCGTGATTTGCAACGCTTCCGGCTAGATTATCCTATCGAGTTGTTGGTTTGCAGGCCCGTGGGAGCGATTTGGACTCGCACTCTGTCCCTGAAGCCGAGCGAGGGGTGACGTGGCAAAAGTGTCGCGCTCCCAAGAGGGGAAACAGGTGCTCCACAGCAGCACTCAGCGGCTAAGATTCACTGATCCATGCTCTGACTGGGAGTTCAAGCGTAAACCATGCAGTGTGTTTCTTCCAACATGCAGCAATACTCCAAGAGAATAGTCTGGGTCCATTCAGCTCCAGGCTTCCACCTGGTATCGGCCCGTGGCCTGCCACCTCTGCAGCACCCTGGAGGCCTCTTCAGGAGGCAGGCCCCCCCGCTCCACCAGCACGTCTTCCAGGGCTGACGCGACGTCTGCCGGCATCTTGTCTGCGGATCCCGCGACATGCACCGACGCACCTGGACGTCAGTGGTGGGCGGATCGAGGTAAGGGTGAGTGCGGGAATTTCATGCGGTGAGCGGATGCCATGAAGCGTCCTGCACTTGGCTGAAGGATGCCCTCAGCACAAAGGCACCTGGGCATGGCGAGAAGCCTTTAAGAACACCCCGCTTTTCACCCACCTCTGTCCAGGGCCTCCCACACGGCGGCGGCCGCCTCCCTGATGCGGTCCTGGACGTAGATTTTGTGGTCTTGGTCGCGGGACGCCGCAAGGGAGTAGAGGGACAGGATGTTACCGACCCGCAGCCGGCCCCACTCCTCGGCATACAGGCAGTCCTTGTCCACGTTGCGGCAGCCGAAGAAGAGCAGGCTGGGCGCCACTCCTGCTTTCCCAAGGGGTGGGGGGGTTGAGATGATGACCAGGGCTCCCGACTCCCAGCCCGAGCCCCAGACCCGTCCAGGCACTTGAGAGAACATGTGGCGGGCGGGCCGGGGCCACACCCAGAGCACCTGCTCCCCGCCCTCCACCATTCGACAGCCGGAAAGCACACGACCCACGTGCACCGGGGACGCCGTGCCGCCTCTGGGCCTCGCGGTGCTGCAAGAAAGCGCGCATGGGCGCGACCCCCGTGCCCGGCCCGACGAGGACCAGGGGGGTGGCCGGGTCTGGGGGCAGGCGCAGCGCGCCGCGCTGCGTCCAGGCCGGCAGCTCGTCCCCCGGCCGCAGCCCGGCCAGCCAGGCGCTGCAGAGACCGCGCCGCCGGCGCTTGAAGGGCGTCACCCAGCCGACCACCGCCAGGGTCAGGTGCGCCGCGCCCGGGTGCGCCAGGGGGGAGGAAGCGATGGAGAAGGCGCGGGGCGCCAGGCGCGGCACGGCGGTGAGCAGCCAGCCCAGGTCCGGCCGGGCGGAGGGGAAGTCCTGGAGCACCTCCAGCACCGTGCGCCCTGTGAGTCGGAGGTGAGGTGCCGTGGCGCTCGCTGAGAGCGTTGGGTGTCGCAGGGGCCTGTGACTCATTGGACCCCATGCCTGACGACTTAACCGCACACCACCCACTCCTCAACTAACCCCCCCCCTCCAACCGCGCTCGCCTTCCAGCTGGTTGTAGGTGGCCAGGTCTTCCAGCCCCTCCGCGGAGCAGAGGTACTCCAGGCGCTCCCGCTCGAGCCCCGACCCCGCCGCGTCGCGCAGGACCTCGAAGAATGTGCGGCGCGGCGACGCGGCGGCGACGTCGAGCGTGCCGGCCACGAGGTCGCCGAGGCGCAGGTGGCGCGGCGTGGGCCCGGCGGTTTCCGGCCCCGGCGCCAGGCGCCGCACCTCCACCGCCGTGCCAGGCGCAAGGCCGGCGCCGCAGCGCTCGATGAAGGCCACGACCGCTGCCGGGTCCTGGCGCGGCAGCACGCTCAGCACGTCGCCCGGCTCGTACTCCGCGCCCGGAACCTCCAACTCCAAGTGGCGCACATCCTGCCAGTGGTCTGGCGCGGTCAGCCGCCTGGTGGCCGCCACACGGGCAGTCAGCGGCCGGGCAGGAGAGTCGTGGGCGTGGGGAGGGGTGGCACCCTGCCCAACTCCCCACATCTCCCCTGCGCCGGGCACGGAAGCCAGCGCCGCCTCGTCCTCCATCTCCGCGATCGCGACGTGCGCGGCCAGGGCGGCCGACTGCGCAGCTGCGTGGCAGCTGCCGGCCTCGGCTGCCTGCGCCGGGGCACCCTCGGGGGGCGACGGGGATGCCGCGCACACTTCCACCGTCCACTTGCACGTCGGGCGCGTGTAGCGGTCCTCTGGCGCGGCCTGGACAGCGTGGGGCGGGCGAGTGGGGGTGATGATCGTGGGTGGGATGAAGCGTCCCTGGCGCCATCTTCCAGCATTAGCCGCCTCCGCAAACCCCAAGAATCGCATCCCGCCGCACCTCTGTGAGGCCGGGGGTCAGGGGCACCTGGGCCCGCAGCCGGTGCCAGAGGTCTGTGAGCCAGGGGGCCAGCGCGGCCTCGTGCCCGCCCGCGGCACGGTCGTCCCCAAGGCCCGCCGGTCCCAGCATGAGCGCGCCCAGGCCCTCCAGCCGGCGGTACAGTTTTTTGGCCACCACGTTGTAATGCGTGTACCCGCTGTCACCCAGCCCGAACACGGCGGCGGCCTGCCCGGCTAGCAGGTTGGGGGGAAGGGAGCGGCGGAGCAGGGCCCGCCACAGAGCGCGCAGCGTGGGCGGGGCCTCACCCTGGCCGGTGGTGGAGGCCACCCACACGACAGCGCGCCAGGAGGGGAGGGTGTCCAGGGCCCTGAGGAAGGCGTGCGCCGACATGACGGTGGGGGTGTAGTGGCGGCGCAGGGCCTCCCGGGCGACACGCTCGGCGACATCCTGGAGTAGGGTTTAGGGAGGGAGGGGGGTGGGAAAAAACATACGGTGATGCCAGATCACGCCGAGCTTGCGCCCAAATGCAGGATATATGGCTGCGCACCTCTGCGTTCCCCGTCACAGTGGCGTATATTATGAGTAAGGGTACAGAGGCCATCGCTAGAGGTCAGATCAGGCGCCACCTCTCTGATCAGGCGAGCCAGTCACCCGTCACACCCTGCGCCAGTCTCCTGCACACTCAATCTCTGAGACGAGCACTTTGCAAACCACATCATGGTACCAATAAAACATGAAACCCTCCAATGGGGCTGTCAGGAGCCGAGAATCGCCACGCTGCATCCCGGCATATGCACTGCGCGTGCTTCGGGCGCCGGCGCCTCGAGCTGGAGGGTGATCTGTCGAAGAAACGCAACGGCCAGCGAAGTTAATGCCCAAGCATACAATTCGCATGATGTGAAAAGATGCGGCATGAAAGAGTGCGACATTTGAAATGTCTTGCACTTGATCCGCTCTGAAAGTACCGGGCAGGGGTGCGACTCCCCCTGCTCGGGACCTCCCGGCACCGCTAGCATGACAGCAGCGGACGAGTTCGTGTCATACACCCGGCAGCTGGGATCCCCATTCGTGTCTCCTGCCGACCGCAGTGTCGCTGATGAGTGGCTTCGAAGGTTCAGGGCCAGCCCCGGGGCCTGGAGTGTCACGCTGGCCCTGCTCTCCCAGCCCCATGCCGGCCTGGCGGTGCAGCTGCAGGCCTGCCAGGCACTGACATGGAAGTGCAGGAGGCAGCTTGAGGAGCGTGGGGGGAGAGTGGGGGGTGGTGGTGCGGGGCGTGGTGGCCGCCCTGGCCCAGCTCAGTGCCCTGCCTCGATCCAGCCCCGTGTCCCTGGCATGCTGTGTCACGCTGGCCGCCATGGCACTGCGAGTCCGAGACTGGGAGGAGCCGCTGGCCCTGCTGGGTGCGTCGCGTTGCGCATGCAGCCTTGGATCAAGTGGGTGTGTTGCATAGGTCAAGCGATTCTTGCATCCATCCCATCGCCGCCCTGCCGTCCTCCCCTGTGCCCAGGTCATCACCTCTCCACGGCGCAGCTCCTGCACCTCTTCACGGTCCTGCCGCAAGAGTGTGAGGACGCCGAGAGGGAGACTGGTGTCGATCAGCTCGCCGACATCCACCCTGCGCGCGCCCGCCTGCGCGCCTGGGTGCCGGCTGTCCTCCCCTGGCTCAGGAGCGTGCACGGCAAGGAGTCGCGTCCTGGGTCTGCCATCGAGGCTTCCATCCTAGCGGCCTTCTCTGCATGGGTGGCCTGGGGCTGCCTGGAGGAGCTCGAGGTGGGTCAGGCCGACTACTTCATCGCCGCCGCCTGCGCCTGCCTAGAGCCGTCCGGCAACCCATCCCGGGCCCAGCAAGGTATGCAAGTGGAGGGGCTTGTGGTCGTGAACATGTGAATCGCTCTTCTTCCTTGCTGTGTGAATACTGAATGGGCTGACACGCATCCACTGTAACAAACCGTAGGCGTTGACGTGCTGGCGGAGGTGATCGAGCGCGCTTCGCCCAAGCAGTCGGCCACCCTGGAACGACTGGCCCTGCAGTTTGCGAGCACGGCAGCGGGGGGACCACAGGGCTCCACCGCCGTCGCCTCGTTGCTGGGGCTGTACTGCGCGGACTCCAGGAATCAGGGCGTAGTGGCCGGGCGAGGGAAGACTGGGGCAGCCTTACGTGAGGTGGGGGATGCGGGATTGGGCTGGGCACAGGGCTCGGTGACTAATTGCAGGACATGAGCACTTCGACGCCATGTGCGCTGACCCACTGGTCCCTCTTCCGACCTTCTGCTCGGCCATGCCACCGTCCCAGCTCTCCACAAACCTCGCAGGCATTGCTGAGTTTCCTGGTCTCCAGCAGGGCACCGGACACTGGGACTGCTGCCGATCGTCTGGACTGTGCCCTGGCTGCATCCATCATGGCAGCTCTGGAGAATGTGCTGAGGGACAGCACCGCCTTTGGGGTGGGAGACAAAGGTCTCAGGATGCCCCAGAACACTGTGCCAGAGTGAGCCGGTGGGGTTGCGATGTGTTGAGGCGATGAGTGCTGACTAGGCCATACTTCATACCGTGTGACCAGAACCTGAGATGGTGTGCTCGGGGAGGTACACACGGAAAGGTCTCCTTGTCAGCCTTCCTGCGCCTCTTTCTCCGTCGTCATGATGGAGTGCCAAACACTTGTGCCGCCTCCACTCGTTCACTGCCAGGAGAATGTCACCCACGGAGCTAAAGGACTTTGCAGCGACAGTCCTGAAGACCTTGCTCAGGTTGGTCAGACCGCTGGGAATTGCGGTAGACAGCAGCCGGTCAGGCGACCTTGGTGAGGTCAGCGACGACTTCCCTGGAGGGACGCCGCAGGATGCGAGAGACTATGCACAGGTCAGCTGCATGGTGCCTGGGAGAGGTGGATTGGCTATGAAGGAAAAAGAAGTGCACTTTGCTGGCTGTCTGAGGCATGCCTGTGCTGTGGGCGTGTTGTGATAGTCCTGCTGCATCGAAGCATGTGAGATGTTTAGATGAGAGCCTCAGCAGGCATCAAAGTACGAGCACCAGGCTGTGAGAGGCTGCATCCGCTTCATAGCCTTGTACATCCACCCACCTGGTCTTGCAGACATTGATTGAGGCCTGTGTGAGGACGCTGGGGCTGGCAAACTCCCTCCAGCTTCTTGTACATGAGGTGCGTGCGGCCGCCCAGACCTCACCGCCAGACCACCTGGTGACCCTCGATGTGAGTTGATCGATGGGCAGAGGGGGGAAGGGTGTGAGATGCAGGCACATACACTATCAGGACCCAAATCTCAATCCTGGGGTGCCTATGTGTGGTTCTACATGCACAGCCAGTGCCTTTTCTCTTTCACCAACCCCCCCCCCCATCCCTCATGATTGCCATCATATGCACAGAGTGCCCTTTTCCTGCTGTCTTGCGCGTACCTCGACACGGAGGCGGAGGACATGGTGACTGACTGGCAGCAGGCGCCCTCCTCTGTACCAGGTAGGTGAGGAGTGGCCACAGTGGTGTGCTGACCGCCACAGCATTCACACGTTCAGCACAGCGGTCATCGCCTGTTGTCCCGCAGACCTCGCCGCCCTCCTCGGCGGTGTCCCCAGCCTGGGCCCGGGGTCCCCAGGGCCGACCCAGCTCCACCTCGACTCCCTGGCTTGCTTCAGCGCCCTCGCGCCAGGCCTCGTGCCCGCCCTGGCCGCCCGGCCGGAGCGCGATGTGCGCGTGTCGCGGGGGCGTGGATGCTCTGGGCATGGGCGCCGGGGGTGCTGGCGGTGTGCTTGGCGGGTGCGTCGTCTCGCGTCATGCATCGTGGACCCTCTGGTGCATCTGATGCGCCACTCTCCAGAGCATCCTCATCTCTCTCCACAGGCACTCCTGGGGCGGGCGCTGGACCTTTCGCTCGGCTGCCTGCGTGCCGCGGGCGGGGCGGAGCCCGGAGGCCCAGCCCCGGCGCGACGAGCCGCGCTGCTCGAGCGCTCCCCCGGCACGCTGTGCACGCTGTGCCTCGCCGCGCAGCGTGCGGGCGCGCCCCCCACCCAGGCACTCGTCCCTGCGCTGGAAAGCGCGATCGCGTTCCTGGCTCAGGCCGGTCCGGCGAGCGTCGGCGCCCCCGACGCGTGCCGCCAGCTGGCAGTGGCGGCCACCCACATCTGTGCCGGCCTCCCTGCAGCCTCCCTGGGTGCCCCGGCCATGGCCCTGGTCACTGCCTGCGGGCCAGGGGGAGGTCTCCCCCCTGCCGCCGCGCTGGCCAGCACCCTGGCGCTGCTGGAGGCGTTCGAGTGCCGCGGCGCGGGCGACCCCGCGACCAGCGCTCCAGCGCGAGCGTCTTCGAGCCAGGCCCTGGCAGGGTGGCGGGCCCTGGCACGGGACGCGGGCGCATCACTCCCACGCGCTGAGCTGGCGGACCGCCTCTCGCGCTGCCTGGCCAGCTGCCTGGCCCTGGCGCCGGACCTGGCCCGACCGGAGTTGCCCGGTCTGCTGGAGTGGTGCGTCGGCTGCATGGCGCGGCCGGGGGAGGAAAGCACGCACGTGCTGCTGTGCAGGGCGCTGGAGACGTGGGGCGCCGATGTCACCGCCCGGCCCCTGTTGCTGAGAGCGGTGCTTGATGTGCTGGGCCGTGGAGTGGCAGGCTCGGACGCCGCCACCGTCGCGGCGCGGCAGACCACGCTCCTGTGTGCGCTGCGCACGCTGCGGAGTGACCGTGTCGCTCAGGCGGAGCTCGCGCCGCGCGCCGCGGAAGCAGCAACCGCCGGCATGAGCAGTCAGAACCCCACCCTGGCCCGGAACGCGCTCAAACTCCTGGCCGAGCTCCTGCTCCCACTGGGCATTGAAGGCAGCAGTGCGCCGGGCCTGCTCCGCAGCCTGGCGCCCACGGTCGTCTGCGCGCTCTTCGTCGCGTTTGCCTCGCCCGTCTTGGCGTGGCCGCTCCCGCAGGTGCCTGGGGGGTATGTTCTGGAGGGAGACAAAGAGTGTGGAGCAGGAAGGAGAGCCATTCTGGTATGGACTACCACTATCCTGACCCTGCTAAGGGCATCTTCCCTGTCGTCCCGTGAGTCTCCAACCATCTCGTGCCCACCCTTTCTCTCGCACGGACCCCCTTCCCTGACCCACCTCCCTAAACAAACACCCCTCAACACCCGCCCAACGCACGACACAGCTGGCAAAGCTCACGGGCGACGTCGGGCTGCTGGCGGCGCTGTGCGCGCTGGAAGAGGGGCTGCAGGGAGACGTGGTCGAGCGCGCAACCGGCCTCCTGGCCGGCTGGAGCGCGCAGGCGGGGCGCCGATTGCTCGACCCCGGCACGCTGGGCGAGCGAGAGGCCGGCGCGCTGCAGGCCGCCTGGGAGTGGGGCCCAGCGGTGAGCGTGGGCCTCTGTCGCGGCGTGGCCATGCTGGGCCTGGCGGCGCCTCGAGCCACGAGCCTGGCGCAGGCAACACGCGACCTCCAGCTCACCGTCGCCGCCGTGGCGGGGGCAATGCGTGCTGCGATCGCGGCGTGACAGGGACGGGCAACCTAGATCGGTGCAGCGCTGCATGGTGGAACGGCTGCCATACACTCTACGCATGCCTCTGTGACTGATGTGGGTGTACAGTTTTGACCATGAACATTGAATCCTGCCACGGGTGCAGAGTGAGAGCTCATGCAATACTTGCAAACGGTTTCTGCAACCAAAAATGCGCAAGCATCACACAGGCCCTCCAGCCCGCTGACGCCGCCACGAACACCATCAGGCCTGCTGCCAGAGACCCGCCAGGTCGGCGTCCTCCCTGGCCGTGGCTTCAGCCACCGCGCCCGAAGCTATCAGAGCCCCCAGCAGCTGCCGCGCCTCCTCCGCCCGCCCCTGCCGCGCCAGGCAGCACGCCAGGTTGTACCGCACGTCCGCCCGCTCCCGCCACCCCCCGAGGCGCTCCGGCCTCGCCAGCGCGGCGCCGTAGTCCGCCTCGGCCCCACGCAGCGCTTCTTGGCCGGCAGCCTCGTCCCCGCCCGCCGTCAGGGCACGCGCCAGCGCCATGCGCGCGTCGCCCGCGCCGGCCCGCGCCTCGGCGTGCCGCGCGTCGACGCGCAGCGCCGCGCCATACCCATCCTCCAGTGCGGAGCACAGCGCGCGCAGCGTGGCAGGGCCGTCGGCGTCCGCCTCCGCCGCCGCCACGAAGGCGTCGCCCAGCGCGCACAGCGGGGCGGGGTCGGCGCGGTCGAAGCTCGCGCTCTCCCTCAGGCGCTGCACCGCCTCCTCCAGCGTGGCCAGTTTTGTTGCAGAGTCCTGCTGGTATGTGGAAGGTTGGAGAATGTGCACGGGGGGATCCGACGTGTGTGGGATGCCTGGTACAGGATGCTCAAGCTCTTGTGCGCCCTGGCACAGACTGGCATCCTGGCACACCCGCGCGCACCTCACACGCACCATTCACACCCCCATCAGCGCCCACCTGCATCAGCCCCGCCAGGGCCACAAGCCCCGTGCCCCAGTTGGCCAGCAGGCCCGGCAAGTCGTCACCGTTGTCGGTGGAGGACAGCTGGCAGGCGGTGGCGTACGCGGCGCGCGCGCGCTCAGCGCACGCTTCCGCCGCCGCCCCGTCGCCGTCGCCGGCAGCCGCCACCGCCGTTGCCACCTCCGCGTCGGCCAGGTTGCCCCAGGTAAGGGCGTCCGGCTCGCTGGAAAGCGCGGCGCGGTACAGGTGCAGCGCCTGGGCGAGGAGCTGGCGGGGTCCCTCCTGCCCCTCCACGGCAGCCTCCGCCCAGCTGGCCAGGGTGTTGGCGCAGTTGACCGCCACGTCGGCGCGGGGCGCGGCCGAGGTGGAAGGCGCGGTGCAGGGAGTCGCAGCGGCCGAGGTGGACGGCTGGTCGCAGGGGACTGCGGCGCCGTAGGCGTGGACAGCACGGCGGAACAGGGCGCATGCCCTGGTCTGCGCCTCGGCCTCCACCTCGCAAGTCAGCACGTCGTCAGGAAGGGCGGAAGCGGCCGAGAGTGTGGTCTCGCCCCAGTTCTGCAGGCATTCGCCCTGGGTCGGTTACATGCATGGTGTTGGGCATCAGGTTTAGCAGAAAGGGCAATTATAGTGAGCAGTCATTGCGCCAGCACCAAACCCTGACAGACGCCTTTTGCGGAACGAAATGGCATGACTACATCCTCCGACTCCTCTGCCCCACCAGATTTATGCTGGCTTCTATGGCAGCAAGATTGGGCGGGTGGGGAGCCAGCTTGAGGGCTGCCTCAAACTGGCCCTGCGACATGGAGGAGGAGGGAAGGGCGGGTTTAATAATGCAGACCTTGAATCCGATCATTGGGATACGAGAATGAATCGCCATACCACAGTGCCATGCTCAGCGAGGGACCATCCCGACCATGCTGGTCTCTCCTGGGTCTCACCACTGCCTTCTCATATACCGGCAATGCCTCCAGGCCGCGCTTCCTCTCCGCTCGCTGTTGTGATACTTCGGCCGCTACGGTATATAATTGGGTATTAGGAAGTATGAGGGTCCACCCACCCAACCTGAGGCCCCTTGAAGAAATGTTGCCTGCACCTGCTGCGCACACGCACCTGCAACAGCAGCCAGGAAGGGGTCAGCCGTGGGCCCAATCTTGGATCTCCCCATGTTCTGAATATAACAAAACAATGATTTGTTTGCGATGTGCTGCCTTGGGATCGTCGGGAGGCCGCTTCTCCGTCTTCAGAAACCCCAGCCAGGCGCCAGCGCCCGGGAGATCAAAACAATCCACGTGGTGGACGGACCCCGCGTCCCTTGACATGTCTCCGACAGAGCTGCAGCATGCTGAAAAACACGATATTCAACAGGATCGGGAATGGCTAGGAGGACGGAGGGGGAGGAGGCGGAGAGCTCACGGCTGCTGGCTGCTGACTGGGGCTCGGACCCTCACACCGCGGCGTTCGGGCCCGGATCTGCCCAGGATGGCAGGGATCCCTCCCACAAGACCTCACCTCCGCTCTGGACATGGTTACTCCTCATTGCCTCGGTGAGTTTCGTGCTGTGGTCGTGATGACGTCATTGTGCCGCGGGGCTGGCCTGAAACCCTAATCTGCCTCGGAAGGTGGGGAGGATGCTCGAAACACATGACCATGAGCCTAGGCCGCCCGGCACGCCCTCTCACGCCACACACATGCCCGTGTGCCTCCCACCCATATGTTCAACTGACAATCCCCCCCCCCCTCCCCCGAAAAAAACGCCCAGGTGCTGGCCTTCTCCTCCTCGGGCATTGTCTTCAGCATGATGCCCGAGGTGCCGGCCATGACCCTGGCGGCCTGGCGTCTGCAGATGACCACCGCTATCATGATCCCCGCGGCTGTGTTCGAGGTAGTGGCCCAGATGGACACCAACACGCGCTGGCGCCTGGCGCGGGCCGTCTGGACGCTGCTGCTCAATGGCTCGCTCCTGGCGCTGCACTTTGGGCTGTGGGTGCTGTCGCTGAAGACCACCTCACTCCCGCACGCCATGCTCTTCGTCTGCATGGCGCCGGTCATTGTGGCGCTGAGCATGTGGATCATGCGCCAGCCCATCTCCTGGGGTAAGGGGAATTTAGGGTTGCTGGGTAGGTCGCGCAGGGGGACGAGTGGTGATTCGACTTGCTGCTGCGTTGTGCATCACATTAAGAGTATGTCCAACAGCCTGCTCAACCCGAGGCTCCAACCTCCAAATCGTGCTTGCCCACCCGCTCCTGCCCGAATGCTCGGCAGTGCTGACTAACCCACCAGCACCTCCCTCCCAAACTCTCGGCAGGTGAGCTGGGCGGGACGGCGCTGGGGACGGCGGGCGCCGCGTTGCTCGCGCTTTCCTCAGCCCACGGCGGCGCTGCGGGGCCTGGCGCCGCCTCCTGGCGCGGCGATCTGGCGGCCCTCGCCGCCGCCGCGCTGTTCGTGGCCTACCTGAGCATCGGCCGCCGCCTACGCGCCTGGATGCCCATCTTTACCTACTCCACTCTAGTGACGGGGGCGGGCGCGGCGGTGCTGACCCTGGCGGCGGCGTGCATCGAGGGGTCCACCCCCCGCCACGACCCCCGCTCCACCCACTACGGCCTCTTCCAGTGGGCCTCCTCCGCGAGCTACTTTCCTAAAATCGCCTACCTGGCGGTGGTGCCCGGCATCCTGGGCCACACCGGCTTCAACGCCCTGGTCAAGTACATGGACCCCCTCATCCTCACCCTGGTCGGCACCATGGAGCCGCTGGTGGGCTCCTTTGTGGGCCACGCGATGGGGCTGGTGGAGCTGCCGCACCCCCTCACCTACATCGGCGGCGCGGTGGTCCTGGCCTCCACCGTGATCGTCTCCGTCGCGGGCCACCACCGGTAAGAAGGGGTGCTGGGAGGAGGGGGGGGGGTGTTTGTGTGCAGGAAGGGAGAGGGTGAGGAGGTGTGAGGTATGTTGAGCATTGCGAGGGTATACAGGAGAGGATCAGGCTCATGTGATCCCTGCAGAACCATGCAGAACGACTTTGAATAGTTTCCAGCATGCATTCACACCGAATTTCCCTTGGCCCCTGCAGTCAAAAGGCAGAGCAGAAGGAGTCTGAGAGGCTCATCAGGTCCAAATCGCATCGTGAGCAAGGGGCCACTCTGGCTTGGGTTGAGTGGATGAATGGACTGAGGGGGTATCATGCTGCTGGTGTCGTAAAGCGCTGGCCGCAGGCCTGTGCGCCTCTGCGAGGGTATGCGCCGACCCTCGCCCCGCCGTCTCAGGTTCATAAGGAAGACGAGCAATGATCAACATGTTCTTTTCTCCATGCTCTTACACAGTGACGACCGCCAGCCTCCAGTTGACCTGAGGCACGATGCCTGGTCTCTCTGGACACCAAATCTGTGCACGGGCGCAGTCACCTGAGAGGACCAGCACAGCTTTACGGGCAATTGTAACGCGGAAGAAACAGCCATCTGCCAAGGCGTCGATGCAGGCGCAGGGGGAGATCCACCCTATACCTCGGGTATCACTGCTCTTCATCCCGTCCGGGTTCTCAGCGCCCGAGAATGCATCAAACTCCCCCTCCTGTTTCTTTCTCAATGGGTTAAAACACTGGCTGCCCAAAAGCGCCCAAAGGATCCTTGCACATGCACAGCGTGCTGCTGTGCATCCCACACCACGCCTTTAGTTCTCCCTGCAGCCCAGGGGTCTGCACGCCCCCGACAGCTCCTTTTGTTACGTTTGAATGTGTACATGTCATGAGAGTTTTGCCCTGAAGTCTGCCAGCAGAGGGAGGGCAGGCAGTGGCGGTAGTCCGATGAGCACGCTCACACCTCGCCGGCGGCGCCAGGCGTCCCCTCCTTCACGAAGCCATGGGTGCGCAGGAGCCGGATCTGGGCCAGGAGGAAGACCGCGCGGCAGAGCCGGGCGTAATCGGTGCCCATCGAGGCCAGGAGGACCTCGCAGGCGGCGGAGACCGTCACCGCAGGGCCCAACACCCGGACCAGCGAGGCGGCCATGGGCTGGCGCGTCAGGGTCGCCGCCAGGGACCCAGGCGTGGCCTGTGCATGCGTGGGGGAAGGAGGAAGAACATGGGGTACAGCAGCTCAAGCGACGTGGCATGCGTCTGCTTGCACACAGTGCGGGGCAAGGAGCCTGTCGCTCCCCAGCGCCTACTGACCCCCGCTTTCCCCGCAGGGTATCGGCCTGTCACCTGCCTTCAAAGCTCACACAGGGGCCCCTGTGTCGTCTGCTCCTCGTACTCCCCCCCTTCTAAACACTCTACAACCCCCCCTTTACCCAGCCACACCTGCCTCCCTACGGCCCGTGCCAGCCTGGCGGCCTGGGCGCCCGACAGCATGGCCGCCCCGCCCACCCAGGCGGCGAGCTGGGTCAGAGCGCCGCCGGCCAGCGCCACGGGCGCCGCCGCGCGGTGCAGCGCGGAGCCGTGGTCCCGGCCGCGCCGCGCCAGGCGCCGCGCCAGCGAGGGCGGGGCGTGCGCCAGCGCGGCGGCGGCGGCGGGGCCCGGGCCGGGCACGCCGACGCGGGGCAGGTGGTGGCGCATGAGGTGAAGGAACACCTCGCTCTCCAGGTCCGGGGCAGATAGGGAGGGCGGGCAGGGGACGCGGAGCTGGCGGCGCAGGCCCAGCAGGGCCTGGTGGTAGCTGGGCAGGCCGCCGCGCAGCGTGCACAGCGCGTCGCCGGCCAGGAAGCGCAGGTGCGCGTCGATGCGCGCGATGCGGCGTCGGCGGGTGGGCGGGGGTGGGGCGTCGGCGTGGGGGCGCACCGCCAGCGTCTTCAGCACGGGGCTCAGCAGGCTGGGCGCTGTTCGATTAAAATTTATTTGGGGGAAAGGGGGAAACGGTGAAGAAGGGATGGGTGGAGGGGAGGGGGGGGCGATCGGGCGTGGAAGGGGGAGTGTGATGGAGACTGAGTAAATCATAGTGAGCGCCGCCCGGCAGAGCACCATCATTACAGGATGGAATCGCCCATCGG